GCCAGCCTTGCTTCATCTGCCATAGCAGGAAGCGTCTAGGCCTCTAGATGCAGTTCTTTTAAATGCAATTAAGTATAACAACAATGAAAAGAGAGGAATAAGAAATAACAAATAAATAAATAATAACAAAAGTAGGAGAAAGGAGGAAAAAAAATAGAAAAAAAAGGACCGGCAAACCTTTGTGGGAGAAAGCCAGTTGGGTTTTTCTAATGAAAATAAAATGAATTTATGGTGGAATACACAATGATTTTATAACTTTAACTTCAAGTGGTGTACAAATTTAAGTTGCAAAATTAACCGGTTATTTGACGGAACGCAATTCACACACGTGCTTTCGCTTCCAACGCAACTGACTCTCCCCTGTGTGTAGACCCTGCAGCCAAATGTACAGTACGAGTACCGCGACTTCACCCACTGCTGGTATAGCCTATTAAAACGCTTCATAGTAGAGCTACTAAGTCTTAAATCCCTGAGACCAGAAATCGGTGTAAAATCTTAGCGTCTAGTGACTAGAATTCATAACTCGCACTATAATTTCTTGTGAACGTCATAATTATTTTTTTTTAATCTCCAAACTCGTTGAGAACCATTTTCTTTTTGTAGCTTCGTGTGCATTTTTGTAGCTTCAACCTCATTAGCTAAAATTCATTTATATTCACTTCAATGTTATCTATTATTCAAGTGTAAAGTATTAAATAAAAAATAGTATCGATTTCCAAGCATGAATAATATTAGTGTAATTTGATAATAATAAAAAATTCTGTCAACTTCAAAAATACATTTACTTTCTAATAAGGTAATTTAAAAATTTTAAATTCTGTTTATAGTTCTCAAGTGAGCGACATTAGTAAATCATGCATTAGCTTCGGCCAACATTAGACATTTAGAATCGACCCGTGAACAACTGCAGGAGCAAGCTGACCTTTTCTTCTCTGGATTTCAATTCTTATAACTGTTTTGAATATTTCAAAGTGTAACAGTCAAAACTGAATTACCGTTTGCTATAAATATTCTTTCGATATTGTTTGATGTTATTTTGTCGTGTCATTGTTATGCTATGTCATGTCTTTATTCTAATGACCATCACCCACGCTCACGCAGGTGTTGGTCGGCTCCATCATCCTTCAATCCATCAATGAACGCATTGAACTTTCATTTTCTTTGCCCCCAGTCTTCGTATTCGGGACTATGGCGCGAAATCTGTGTTCACTCCTCACATCGGGTAGTTGATACTCTCGAGCTTGTCGTATATGACTGGTGATATCTTAGCTACACGCATTTTCTGGCAACGGGCGGTTTTTAGGTGGCAGATAAGGTCAAGAGATCGGCTGGAATTGGTTCCGCCTGACCGCTGCTCATATCTTATGACTGGCCGCTGGCTGACCGCTGGAGCCCATTTGCTGTAACAGTTGAGTAGTTTACGATGTCTGCGTCCTTTCATTCCGTCTCAAATGCCGCTATCAGAACTGTTGCACTCCACATTTGAGCATGGTCGTCTTTAGCAGGTTCTTGATGAATCACAATGAAGCTGATATATATATGCCGGGCATACCAATTAGTGAAAAATAAAAAGTATAATCAATTAATATCTCTAAAAATCGTAGAAGTTGTACAATTTATGCACATTAATATATTATTTTTTTCTAAATTTTCCTTCATCTCAACTTTTTATTTGATACACAGTTGTAAAATTGAAAACTTTTTTGTTCCTGTCCGCAGATTGCAAATAAGTAGCTTGATTGGCATAGAAAATGATGGTTATCTCAATTAAAAGCTGAGTAAAGGTTGAAAAGGAGGGTGCTATATAAGAATGTCATTCACGGATGGTCTAATTCCGAACTCGGCTTATTGGGCGAACTGAGTTTAAATTTCGGCTGCAGCGTCTGACAGGGCAGTGACGCGGCCGAGAGGCTGTACGAGAATATTGGAGCATGGAATGCACTAATTTAAGCATACATTTTTAATTACTATTTTAAAAACCTTCGGCATTGTCCAATCGTCATGCGTTTGGCAAATTACTGTATTAGTTCCTGGGGACAGAGTTCTTTAAAGTAGTCTAAGACAGTCAAGGTGGTCTGAAACAGTTGCGGATTATATTTATATTACGGACGCGTGACAAAATTGGGCGATGTAAGCAGAGCTTTAGCTCCAGCCAGAAAGCGTGTTGCTTGAGAGGCTGTGTGGTGACTGACTTATCGGTGCTGAAGGCACCACGAACATAGACCGCTAATGCGTGATGTCACTGAAGGTGACATACGCAATCAATGTAGCAGCTAAGAGATGAGACGTAAAAGGTAGTTCGGTGCCTGACAGCATCCATGAGTTGCCGAGAAAATTTTTCATCTTCATTGAAGACTGTGGTTTATATGTTTTGCTGATAGCGAAACCCCGCGCGGCTGTATCGGCGAGCGCAGCCGTGCACCACCAATTTTGTGCACCAATAAGCCCTGAATCGAACGCCTTGAATCTCTCCGGACATCCACCAATCAGCCGTGAACCACTCGGCTTTGTCTTCCTCCGGCCTCGCATAGAACCTGCCGTGCACAACCAGGCCGCGGATCGAATCTGACTTCCGGGCATCGTTAAATTACGTACATTTACGTTCACCGCATCTGAGGTTAGGTTTCAGATAACATAGTTCTGTTCCAAAATTTATCGTCCTTCGACAAGTGGCCGTTCGACCGATGGCTGGTTCGACCCGCGGCCTAGATACGGACGGCTTGACGTGTTGAAGGCTACGTTCCGGAAGGCAGGAATCATGATGGTCCATTACATCCAGGGCAGTGGTGGTCTTCGGCAGGCGACCCCTGTATCGGATCTCGCTACATAACTAATTTTATATTGATAGGATGAGTCTAGAATAATCCGCTTCCGTTGGCAACATTCATTTGCGGTAGATTACAAACTCTGCCTACTCTTACAACTCAGTGCTCACTCTTACTTCAGCCGCTGCTCCGGCAACATCGTGTAACCTAACTTCAGCATCACCGGCACACACATTGCTGCCCCTTTAACGTCAGCAACAACAACACGTGCAAATCCACGCGCCCGTATAACAACGTTATTACAACAACACGTGTAACTCCGCGTACCTCTTGCAACTCCACTTGCATCTCATCACGTCACGTGCATCACATCACGCCACGTACATCACATCGCGTCAAGTGCATCACATCACGTCACGTGCATTTGGTCACCACCACGTGCTCCTGACACCTCGTTATCACCACGTGCTCCTTCTCGTCATCATCACGTGCTCCTGACACCTCGTCATCACCACGTGCTCCTGACACCTCGTCATCACCACGTGCTCCTGACACCTCGTCACCATCATCGAGCAGGTCACGCGAGCCAGGAATAAATACTTTCAATCTTAAATTTGTTGTCATTAAAACACTAACATTTAACCGACCAATTACATCAAGCCGCCCTAGTTAATTTCAATCTGCTCCTATTGGCATAACTCTTCTTTCCCTGGCCTTAAAAACCCCTGAGGTAAAGCCAAACAATAATTATATGTGGTCGGGTGCTAGTCCCAACACCGCCAACCGGAGAAATTCAGTGAACTGCAAACAGTGTCCACCGGTCTATTCTTAGCATTCAGACTGGTAATGAATATTCGCAACTACGATCACTTAGTTTCTTACTGAAATATTCGTCTGCGTGAAAAGACGTTCGCACAATGAAGAAAGCCATAAAACTATAGTTGATGACTGTAAAGTTATTTAATTACATTCGTGACAACGAGCCGTTCACTTAACGAATGATATACAAAAAATAATCACTGTTTACTTTGGGGGTAGCTAAGAGCTTCCTCTACCGTCGCCGTGGGTAGGAATTCCTGAGCCGTGGGGAGCAGGAGCAGAGCTGTGGGGCAGGACTCTGGTTATGGGAGGAGGGGAGGAATATGAAAGTATGGAGGAATAGGAATGTAGGTAGGAAAAGGAATTTGGGGAGGAATAGGAAGGTGGGGGGGAATAGGAATGTGGGGATGAATAGGAATGTGGGGAGGAATAGGAATGTGGGTAGGAATAGAAATGTGGGGAGGAATAGGAAAGATATGAGAAGTATGAATGAGGGGAGCATAAGGCAGAAGTTATAGAACGGGAAACCAGCTTGCGCATCCTCCTCATTCAGCTGTGCGCGTCCATGCCGAGCAGTGCAATGTCCCGGTGTCCGATAGTGACTTTAGAGTTCTGGCTTCCACGACCGGTGTTTCTGGCTTACGAATTATAGAATCCTTGCATATTTTCAAACAAAAACCTAGTTTAAATTTTACCTTCAGCTCCAATCCCCTTGAAATTGTAAATATATAGGTCTGTCACCCTTTTCTTATCTTTTGTCAATTTAGGAGAAGCTTCAATGTGAATTTTATTTTTCTAGCTGACTTTGCTTGTCTTGAATGATTTTAAACTAATGATGGAGCTGGACATGGAAACATTTTCTCGCATAAAGGAAGGGTAGATTTTCTGGCGATTTTCTTTGCTTTTGAATTCTTGTGGAATTTGCGATTTGCGCAGTCAAGTCATTTTAATGCGAAATCGGGATTATATAAGGTTAGGCTAGAATAGGTTAGGTTAAATGACAATAATCGGTTTTTGCTCTAGACAAATCGCAGTTCAATTTTATTGACCCTTAGCTGAACACAATTAAATAAAATGCCATTTAACATACTCGTAACATTGCGCTCCCTAATAAAAATCTTGTCAGTAGTCAAAAGAACACGTTTAAGCACCATTATTTAACTTCAAAAAAAAACGTGACTAATAACAGTGATGTTCTTTTCAATCAAGTAACAGTTTTTACTACAGGTGAAAAGATCTTCAGAGTTTCGTATGAGCGGTGAAAATGTTTTATGAAACCTGTGACCTCGGTCATAAGATAACTTCCACTTGTCCCTAATCTTTTATCTTTATCAAGTTGGCTGATAATTAATACCTGCCTTAACAACTGAGCTGCGGTGGCGAGGCTTTGGCTCGCTGGCAGTCGCGGTGCAGGGCTACACGCGCCCCGTGGCTTCAGCTGTCCAAGGCAGGTGCGTGAATATTTATAAGAGTTATCAACAGACGTGAAATAATGTTAAAGAATACGAGTATGTAATGATAACTAATATGGGAGGTGCGTGAATATTTATAAGAGTTATCAACAGAAGTGAAATAATGTTAAAGAATACGAGTATGTAATGATAACTAATATGGGAGGTGCGTGAATATTTATAAGAGTTATCAACAGAAGTGAAATAATGTCAAAGAATACGAGTATGTAATGATAACTAATTCAAGTCCCGTGCTGTTTTGTGTGCAGCTTTGAAACTAAAGCTGGCAAATTTTTGAAATACGGAGACGCGGATTATGAGGGAAATTTTGATGACCTACAAAGTCGGAAAGTTCTATTCGTGTCAGCTATTAATGGTAATTTATTCTGAATGTTTCGTTAAGGTAATGCGGATATCTGTTATGATATGGGAAGGAATTGTTTGTTTAATGATTGTATTATCTTTTACTTGCATGTGTGTGGGTGCTTAATAATTGAATAAATTAAGTGATAAAATTCACATTTCATTAAAAAAATATTATGCTCGTATGTCAAATACTTCGTGCTAAATGCACCAATTAGTGTTTATTTGTTTCAAGCGGATGCCTGAGATGACTTGAAAAGAAATTGTTTATTTATAATCAACAATGTGTTTAAAGTACATTTTTCATGTGTTTCATAATCATATAATTTAGTAGATAATAAATTGCAATGATGAAAGGCTGCGAGAATGATTTCGAGATAATCACTTATCAGTTTTATCGGCGACACTCATAATGGCTTGGCTCATATCAATGAACTCCCATCCACTCTATTGGTACGCAAAAGACTACAAATATGAATTTACCTTTCATTCGAGAATAAAAATTTCGCTCATCGACATTTTGCTAGTCATAACTTGTTGAAATTACCTTTATTCTTAGTCTTGACTTGAGTGAAGAGACTTACGCACGCATTATTCAGCGTTTCAACAGTATACTTTTTCCACAAATCATGCAACACATAAAATGTTGTTTATAAGTTGGTTGTATGATAACACTATCTTATATCATATAAGATTGTCTCATCATACAGGACTCGTGGGTAAATGCTCCTACTGCTTGAGCTATTGCACCATCGTTTTCTTGTCAATTCACGAGCAGTTGAGCAGCGCGTACAAAATCGTGGAATTTTATTAGTTTTTTTGTGCAATTTCAAATGTACGTAGCGTGTATTTATAACCATTTTTTTAGTCACAGAAATCTTCCTTGATCCAAGCCGAAAATTGTGTTTGGTTTTTTTGATTTTGGTTTTTGGTTCGTTATTTGTCTTGATTAAACACCGCAATGCACGAAACAGTGCAGCAATGGGGTAAGTTGACGCACTCATGTCTATAATCAATTTTTAAGATTTTGCCGCTCAACGTTCCTGGTTCAGCGTTTTGCCGCTCTACGTTCATGGTTCAGGGTTTTGCCGCTCTACGTTCATGGTTCAGCGTTTTGCCGCTCTACGTTCCTGGTTAAGCGTTTTGTCGCTCTACGTTCATGGTTCAGCGTTTTGCCGCTCTACGTTCATGGTTCAGCGTTTTGCCGCTCTACGTTCATGGTTCAGCGTTTTGCCGCTCTACGTTCATGGTTCAGCGTTTTGCCGCTCTACGTTCATGGT